AGGGGGCAATCTCCTCCTGTACCAGTCAGATCTGATTTGATGGTACACATAAAAATAATACAATAAAATTTTTTTAAAATAAAAAAAAAAGACTGGCTTGGATCAGGGAGCTCTGATGGTCTAGTGGTTAGAAGCTGCACTGTAATCCTGAAGACACACAGTTCAAATTCACCAGCTGCTCCACGGGTGAAGAATGGACAATCTCTTGTGCAATTAACCGCGTCTGAAAACTCACCAGAGAGTCAGCTATGCCTCAGTGGTACACCACCACATCATGGCTTGGATCAGGTGTACCTTAGTCTTTAAACTGATATCCTTGTTGTCATTATTGTTGTGTACCATCGAGTAGGAACTGACCCACAGCTGAAACCCCATGAAGTTTTCAGAGCCAGTAAATCACACAAGAGAAGACAGCACAGCTTTTTCCAGCAAAGGAGCTAGTAGATTCGAACCGTGTACCTTTGTGTTGATAGTGCAGTTGCTTACTGGCATCCTTGCTAGGCCATCTAAAACCAGGAAGCTAAGGAAGCAGGATCTTCCAGAAGTGGCTGGAGCATCCTTATACAGCTACCATTCTTAGCACCACTGGTTCCCTCCAGAGACATTCTTATCCTGGGGGACATTTGTCAAAGTGTCAGGGAGCTCTGGTGGCCTAATGACAAGAAGCTACACTACAATCTCAAAAGCCTGTGGTTTGAGGCCACCAGTTACTCTGTGACAGAAGGATGGGCAGTCTCCTCCCTTCTGATTAACTGCCTCTGAAACCCTGCTGGAGGGTCAGCTATGGGTCATTTCCAACTCAACAATACACAACAACAAGAACATCTTTGGCTGTCATAAATGAAAGGCTGCTATTAGCATCTAGTGAGTCAGGGATGCTGGTAAACATCCTCCTAGGCACAGAACAGCCCTCCCAGCAAAGATTCATCATGCCTAAATGTTCATAGCATGACTTTAAAGAAACCCAGTGCTAAATAAATAAACCCACAGGAATTAGCAAAGAGGTTAGTGCCATAAAGAACATGTGTGAGATACTATGAGAGCATAACTAAGGTGGTCCTAAGGCATGGAAAACTTTCTTGAGGGGAAGCTTGAAGTGGACTCTGAAAAGCAGGCTTCACTCGGGCCAAGAGGATTTTATCATTCTATGGCTTTCCCATGTTTGTGATCTATGCAACTAAAGCATATCCCCAGAAGCATTTATAGAGGTTTTTAGTGAGTGCCTCATATCCCTCGAACAGGGGATGCCAGTGGAAAATAGAGTGTCACTTAAGTTGGTTAACCCAGTGAGGAACACAAACAATTTAACAAAGAGGCCACTGATACGGGGTGTTCAGGGGGCCTTAAGGACATAGCAAAGGGGTCTCAGCTCTTTCTGAAGGCTTTCTGGGGTAACTGTCATGAATCTGGTCACAGCAGAACAAATCGTGAAAGCCAAGGAGGAAAAGCACAGGTCAGCAGCCCATGTGAGAGTATGAAGGCCTGAACCTTTGCCTTCAAGGAACTGTGAGCTATATGTAATGTGGGCAGAGTGTGAGAACTGTGATGGGGAGGGGCACGGCAAGGCTCAGATCATAGCTATGACTCAAGACTTGCCTTGAAAGCACGGGGGAACCACTGTAGGATTTTGTTTTCTGTTTCAAACAAAAGTTTCCAACACTGCAGTTTAGGAAAATAAACAACGGGAACACAAGGATTTTAAACTGCGAAATGATATGGAAAAACAAGCTTCAAAGGCCAGACCACACTTGCACTCGACTGTACACAAGCTTCCAGTACAATCGTCTTGCCCTTCAGAGGAACTTGTGTGTCCTCTGGAGAAAAGAACTGGCCTCCAGCCCGGGTGTTATGTAAAATTCAGCACCTCATGCACCTCAGCTCATGCTCAGCCCCAGCTTCCCCTTCCCTCACCCACCCGTTTCTAGATTAATGAAGCAGGTGAGCAACATGAGGAAGAGGAGGATCCCCAGAGGCCTCAGGGTGATAGTTAGGATTAGTGTTTTGTAGGAATCCAAGGGTGCCAACAAGGGAGACTATCGCAGGATAAGGGAGGAGGCCCCTCCCAGACCATGAGGAGGATGGTTCATAAAGTCCTGATCAGAGAGCTCCAGAGGGGGGAGCTTCTTAGAACAGTGAAGGGAG